GATTGGTGTCTCGGTGCTGTCTTTCAGTTCAGCTTTGTCCAGCCATTGGTAGAATTTTTCAATATCAGCCACTTCTTCTACCTGATAGTGGTACATACTGTGCAGGGGTTTGTCCTTCCATGAGGGTTCTTGTTCTTCCTTCCCTTGTTCTTCTGGGTTTTTTTTTGGTGTTTCAATTTTGTGCAGCACTTTGGTCAATGTTTGTTGTTTTTAAATGTGCTTTATAAATAAAATTATTATTATTATTATAAGGAGTGGAGCTGAACTGTACTGACTTTGAAGAGGTGTGGCTCTATAGGCAAAAAGTGCAAGGTAGGGGTCTCTTACCTTTTTCAGCAAGTTTTTTAAAATCTGCATTCAAAGCGCTGCGTCCAGGATTTTAACAAGAACCAGGAGAACTGAACACATCACTCCTGTTCTTAAATCCATATGCTGGCTACCAGTTATCTACAGAATAGATTTAGAGAAGTGCTTCTGCTAGTTTAGAAATAACTAAATAATATGAGGTCAAAATACTGATCTCCTTGAAAAATACAAACCCAGCAGGGCTCTGAGATTTTTAGGAAGCAGTCAGCTGATATAACTTTGGGTCAGAAATAAACAGGGTGACGCTTATTTATCTACTATGCTGCACACAGAGGAAACCAACTTCCTGATGACCTTAAATGTGCCCCAACTCTAGCCACTTTTGAGACTCAACTGAAAAGTCAGCTGTTTTCCTCTGCCTTTGTTTGACCGGTCCCTGTGCTGTACTTTCTACACTGTAACAGCTACTGTAGATTTCTATTTCAAACCTTTTACTTTGTCTAATTGTTCATATTTTCATTTTATGTATTTTATCTCATTTTAATAATGTTTTATCTTCACTTTGTCCTAAGTGATTTTATTGTGGTTTTAATGCTTATTCTTTTTAATGCTGTTACTGTTTTTCCTTGCCTCCATAAAGCACTTTGTATTGCTTCTGTGTATGAAGGGTGCTATATAAATTAAGTTGCCTTGCCTTGCTTTGAACTGCCTGTTCAGCTTCCCCATTACTCTGTGGAAACCTTGGGCTACTGGTGATGTGTCTAAACCTGTATGAAGTCACAAAGAAGGTGCCGGATTGTCCAGAAAACTGTGGCCCATTATCTGACATCAGGACCTCTGGAGTGCCATGGTGGGCAAACATCTACTTTTAATGGACAGTTGATGTTGGTGGTCCTGGTGTGACATAATTGTGCAGTTTCAACATACCTGGAAAAATAATCAACAACAGCAAACAGGTCCACCCCCACCTTTTGGCATGGTCTTTCTGGGTATTCAGATGGCATGAGTGGCTCTTTGCAATTTTGACATTGTTGTATGCATATGCTGCAATTGAGCACCATTTCGTTTATCTTCTGGCTCAGACCAGGCCACCACCCACACTGACGAGTATGCATTTCACCACCCCTCGGTGTTCCTCATATATGTTAGCTAGCATGTCATTCCACATTGCTGAGGATATTAAGAGCTGTGTGTCTTTCAGCAGTAAGCCGCCTTTCACTGTGAGTGGAGCTTGTTCTTACCAGTAGTTTTTCAGCACAGGTTCCTGTTTTGTATGTGCTGGCCAGCCCTCTATGCACAGCATCATGAGGCGAGCATTCAGCTTACTCATAAGCACCCCTGGTGTTGATATCTGTACAGTGTTTCCTCATTACATCAAACACATCTGAGCAAACATGAACACACCTAGTAAA